CCACACTTCCGGAGTTTGCCCAGGATGATGTTGTGAAGGAGATGTCAAAAGCCTTGGTGAAGTCGAGATCGATGACATCCACTGCTCTCCCCTCATCTATCCAGCTATAGAAGTCTATCAGATTAGTCAAGCAAGATTTCCCCTTGGTGAATCCATGCTGACTACTCTTGAGCACCTTTTTGTCCTCTATGTGCCCGGAGACAACGGTCAGTATGAGCCGTTCCATCACTTTTCCGGGGATGGAGGTAAGGCTCACTGGCCTGTAGTTGCCTGGGTTCTCCTTCTTGCCCTTTTTGAAGACTGGCATGACATTGGCCTTCTTCCAGTCCTCTGGCACCTCTCCCATTCTCCAGGATCTTTCAAAGATGATGGAGAGCGGCTTAGCTATGGCATCCGCCAGCTCCCGCAGCACTCTGGGGTGCATCTCATCAGAGCCCATGGATTTGTGGATATCGAGTTTCCTTAGGTGCTCTCTGACCCAATCTTCCTCTACCCTGGGCGAGTCTTCCTCTCTCCAGGCTTCTTCTCTTGTCCCTAGGGCCTGGGACTCTAAAGGGCTGCCCTTGGTAAACACCAAAGCAAAGAAGGCATTCAGCAACTCTTCTTTTTCCTTGTTATTCGTAACCAGAATTAGGCAGCTGAATCCCACCCAATATGTTCAAAGTACACATAAGCATATTTTGTCTCTCATTTTAGCAACACAGAGTAGTGACAACACATTCTTGACTGTCTTGTTGTAAATAATTTTCTATTATATACAATTCTGTGCCACAAATAAAATATTGGAAGATATTATTGTCCCTTGAACATAAAATTAATTTTATTTTTCAGGCATTTCTTCTTTATTTTGTTAAACATAGTATTCTATTCTGAATAGAATGTGAAGTTTATTGCTTTTCCTTTTCTGCTTACTTAACTCAAATCACCCCTATAGTAACTGAATCTATAGCTTAATGGCACTGCATACTTCCTGGTGGGTGGTGAAAGCAAGGCATTAAAAATAGCTCAAAAAAGCAAGAGAAACCTCTGGAGAAATATCACTGCAGGAGACTAGAAATATTTTAACACAAATCTATTTCCTTCAAGGACTCTGCTCTACAGAGGAAGAAGAATCTATATACAGACTCTACTGTGTACAGTCTGTGTTTGCCTTTCTTATCTGTTTCACTCTCTGCTGTGTTTTCAGACAGTGTTTTCAAATGGTTTAACTTAGTGCTTTATTATTAATATACAAATAGTTTTAAATAAAAAATAGTTATAAATAAATTAATGCATGTGGAAAAGTACATTGGGGGAGCAAGTAATAATGAATTTTGGTAGATACTTTTAAAACCAGAAGCATTACAGAAGAGTTATAATGTGTTTGAAAGCAAGTTTAATTATGATGAAAGAGGTGACACACAGCAGCAATGTGAAATTGCAGATGAACCTCCTTCTTTCATGCCTTTCCTGTCTGGACAGAAGATCCATCTAGACCTACTGATAAAAGACGATGCGTGTCTATTCTGTGTGTGCAGGGGGGTTGGACTAGATGACCTCTAGAGGTCCCTTCCAACCTTAAGCATTCTATGATTCTATGATTCTATTATCTTCTGTGCCAGCTTGAGGTATTTCTGCTCCACTCAGACTGCTTATCCCCTACACAGGGCATCTGAACAGCTCATATGATGAACTAGTTTAGATAACTTTGGTATGAGGCCCTTGCTAAAACACCTCAGTGTATTAGACAATGATCAGGAGAGAAAATGGATGCATGCTCCTAAGAATTTAAGTTGGCCCAGAACATTGGACTTTAAGTGGTTTACTGCAAGAAAAGGTTCTTCTAGGAATATACTTATTTCCAGGAAACAAAAGTCTTTTATTTTTTTTCCTTCAGCCATGTTCAGACATAAAGACATTCAAGCTTTCAGCAATTTTGGTATTTTGTTCTTGGGTTTAAAAAGTGCCTTTCTTATCAAAGTTCTTCTCATGCATTTCATAGTGAACCTGGCTGCCAGTACCTTTAGTGGAAGCTGGGCTGGTTCATGGTGGGATTTCTGGAAAAAGAACTCCCCAAAAACAGTCCTAAAAATTTTTAATATTTTAGGTTTGATTTATTACTGTAGTGTTAAAATTATCTGGATAACTGAAAAGACTCCTCAACAGTTTATTTACCTTTCTTTTAAGATGAGAAGGTTTTGAACATGTTTATATACGAGAACACTAAATTACCAGGTTTATTGGTCTAGAGATAAGTTGATATTTTAATCGACAAAATCCTGTTTTACTTACTAAACAGTAGAGCCACTTTCTATGCACTTCCCACCATTTCTGCATTTTATTAAGCTGCATGGGGAATCTTTACATTGCCCAACACTGCGACCATCATTGGGATGACCTTCTGGAGTCCCTGGCGATTTAAACTCTTGATTCTTGCCCATGCGGACTTGAACATCAAAAATACAACCTCAAAATAGAAAGGAAAAAGAAATGAAGTTACAAGAAGTCGAAACAAACCAAACAAGATAATGCCTCACATACATGAGAACATCTTCAATAGGTGGAAAGTCATACTATCTCAAAGAGCTAAAGTTATGCTGTTTACTTTCTGTTCAGACAAACGGGTGAATGATCACAAGACGCTTTGTTTAATAATAGGTATAGCAGTAGGAGACACACCTCAAGAAACAAAAAGAGAGCAGGGTCAATGGCTGAGGGCTGATGGTTGTGAAATTTTGTGTTACACTCACATGCACTTGCAGGAAT